GTCTTCCACGACGGTTTTTGCGTTGAGGAGGGATGGGGATTAAGTTGTCAGCTCTTCGGAAATTATTTATTGCCCTAGTGACTGATGAGGCTAGCGACTTGCCTCCTCTTGCAGGTACGCCTAAACAAATATTGCCAAACAGGAGCAAATTATGCCATGTTTTGATGGTGGCTGCAGCATTAAGATTTTCAGACCGTTCATTCACTTTCCTTAAAAGGTCTGTATATTTCCCTGCTGCAAATGGGCGCGCTGCTTTAGGAATGCGGGGAAGAGTTCTGGTGGTGGATGCTTTGATGGCCCCCAGGAGGTCATCTGATGACATGAAGTTTGCTGGGATGTGTGGGGGTGCCGGGGGGACCTGTGGGCCTTCTCTCTCTACAAGTACCGTCAATAAACCCTCACAGCTGTTGTGTTGACGTAGGGTTCCATCGTTTCTAAGGATGTGAGATTCGTCACACACCCTACACGTTCCTCTGAGTCTGGGTCCTCAGGTTGCACGTCTGGGTGCACTGTTCCCAGGACCCTTGTTCTTGGCTGAGGGGTTCCTGGTTAGTTGGTAGAGTCCCCTCCATCCCCCGGGCGGCCGGCGTGGGAGGGATGACAGGGGTGGTGGCGGCAGGGGTGGACACGGGTGGTGGCAGGAGGGGTGGCTAGCTGTCCCTCACACTCACCACTCCTATGAGTACTTGTGTCTCCCTCCCTTTTGGGAGGAACCTGAATGCTTGCTGTGACCTGTGCCATATCTGGGTGCATGGAGGGTAGCACATCCCTGCAACAAGCACTGTGTGGGCGGTGAGTAGGTGGGTGGGAGACACCCAGGCGCAGGGAGGGCTGGGTGGTGGGATGGCAGGAGGTACTGTGGTGCGGTCAGGCCGGCGGGCGGGGAGGAGGTGGGGGTTGACCGGGCCTCGCTCAGCTTGAGGGGGGGGGGGGGGTCTGGATGACACTTAAACACTGGTATAATTGTCTTGTATATCACTGCACAATGGTGAATGAATCATACTCTTGTAATCCGACACACTGTGAGCTCTGAACATGATTGCTTATTTTTATTTTTATTATATATATATATATATATATATATATATATATATATATATATATATATATATATATATATATATATATATATAGTGTGTGTGTATAGGGCGGGAAAGGTGGGAGGGGGAGAGATGGAAGATTTGTAGGGAGAGACAGTCTGTCCCGGACACTGCCGGGTAACCCTCCAAGGATTATAAATAACAATCTCACCTAAGGTTTAGACTACTTTTTCCCCATGTTTCAATATCTACATATTCAATATATGAATTAGTTTTTTACAGTTGACATAATAGTGCCTGGCAGCCACAGTGTGTGTGATGGCTAATCATTCCTTTCCTAAACGTGATAGTTCACTGAACTATTTATGTTTTAATTTGTATAGATCATTATTACAGTTAATACCCTGTCCCATAAGAGGCCCTTGCATAATTGGCCAAATTTTGTAATCAGTTTACGTTCGCGTCCTGTATTTTCTACATTATCAGACCAGCTGTTCAATTGATTAAATATAATTTGTTACATAAAATCCAATGAAAATTAGAAAATCTTTGGAATAAGGCAGTGGAATCGCTCCTGCGTCCAAGGTCACCCCCCCCCCCCCCCCGACGCACTCAATACCTGGAGTGACTTCATTGTGTAGTTATTGTACATATTGGGATGTTTGTTTTGGGTCAATATCACGCCAATACAGATGCAAAAGCACTTACAAGGAGTATGCTTATTCTTTAGTAAAGTCTTGTGCTAAACCAACATTCGGACTTCTAACCCCGTTCTCGTAATTGTTTCAAGAACTGTTATATTTTTTCTGAAAAAGGTAATTGATTTTAGTCAAATTTTCAAATCGTTTTACAAATCCACCTAGAAATGAATATTTATAAGCCAGAATACAGTTCATATCTTATTTTGTGTGTGTGTGTGTGTGTGTACTCACCTAATTGTACTCACCTAATTGTGCTTGCGGGGGTTGAGCTCTGGCTCTTTGGTCCCGCCTCTCAACCGTCAATCAACTGGTGTACAGATTCCTGAGCCTATTGGGCTCTATCATATCTACATTTGAAACTGTGTATGGAGTCAGCCTCCACCACATCACTTCCTAATGCATTCCATTTGCTAACTACTCTGACACTGAAAAAGTTCTTTCTAACGTCTCTGTGGCTCATTTGGGTACTCAGCTTCCACCTGTGTCCCCTTGTTCGCGTCCCACCAGTGTTGAAAAGTTCATCCTTGTTTACCCGGTCGATTCCCCTGAGGATTTTGTAGGTTGTGATCATGTCCCCCCTTACTCTTCTGTCTTCCAGTGTCGTGAGGTGCATTTCCCGCAGCCTTTCCTCATAACTCATGCCTCTTAGTTCTGGGACTAGTCTAGTAGCATACCTTTGGACTTTTTCCAGCTTCGTCTTGTGCTTGACAAGGTACGGGCTCCATGCTGGGGCCGCATACTCCAGGATTGGTCTTACATATGTGGTGTACAAGATTCTGAATGATTCCTTACACAGGTTCCTGAACGCCGTTCTGATGTTAGCCAGCCTCGCATATGCCGCAGACGTTATTCTCTTTATGTGGGCTTCAGGAGACAGGTTTGGTGTGATATCAACTCCTAGATCTTTCTCTCTGTCTGTTTCATTAAGTACTTCATCTCCTATTCTGTATCCTGTGCCTGGCCTCCTGTTTCCACTGCCTAGTTTCATTACTTTGCATTTACTCGGGTTGAACTTCAACAGCCATTTGTTGGACCATTCACTCAGTCTATCCAGGTCATCTTGTAGCCTCCTACTATCATCCTCTGTTTCAATCCTCCTCATAATTTTTGCATCGTCGGCAAACATTGAGAGGAACGAATCTATACCCTCTGGGAGATCATTTACATATACCAGAAACAGTATAGGTCCAAGGACTGACCCCTGCGGGACTCCACTTGTGACGTCTCGCCAATCTGAGACCTCACCCCTCACACAGACTCGTTGTCTCCTGTTGCTTAGGTATTCCTCTATCCACCGGAGTACCTTCCCTCTCACTCCAGCCTGGATCTCCAACTTTCGCACTAGCCTCTTGTGTGGCACTGTATCAAAGGCTTTCTGACAATCCAAAAATATGCAGTCTGCCCACCCTTCTCTTTCTTGCCTTATTTTTGTTGCCTGGTCGTAGAATTCAAGTAACCCTGTGAGGCAGGACCTGCCATCCCTGAACCCATGTTGATGCTGTGTTACAAAGTTCCTTCGCTCCAGATGCTCCACTAGTTTTTTTCGCACAATCTTCTCCATCAGCTTGCATGGTATGCTGATGGAGAAGATTGTGTGTGTGTGTGTGTGTGTGTGTGTGTGTGTGTGTGTGTGTGTGTGTGTGTGTGTGTGTGTGTGTGTGTGTGAGAGAGAGAGAGATGAAGAAGGGTATGAAGAATGGAAGCGAGTAGAGAAGGGAGAGGGACATTGGCGTCTTAAGGATTATAAATAACAATCTCACCTAACTCCAAAAACTCCGTGCTCCAAAAACTTTAGACAAACCGACATGAGACCGTGAATGCGTTCTGGGCGTCTCGTCTGATAGTCAATAATTAAAGAATGACATTTATTTTTCTCCGTGTGGCGCTTGAGGACAAAAACTAGGACAAATATATATACATATATTGATGTTAATAGTTTTAGTCAGGTATTGAGTCAAGTTCGTTTACTTTTCTCTGGACTAATAATAATATAAAAGCGTAGTTGTAAAATAAGAAACACAAAGAAACTAAACCTTGAAAGAACTAGACGAAAGCAAACCAAGAATAATAATATTTATGAAAATAGAGAAAGGTGGTAAAAATGAAGCAGGAGAGAGGACTATAAGGTATATCGGTGGAGTGTGCGGGCCGGATGAGAGGACTATATAAGGTATATCGGTGGAGTGTGCGGGCCGGATGAGAGGACTATATAAGGTATATCGGTGGAGTGTGCGGGCCGGATGAGAGGACTATATAAGGTATATCGGTGGAGTGTGCGGGCCGGATGAGAGGAAGAGCAGCCCATCTGGCGGAGGTGGGCAAGGGGGCCGGATGAGAGGAAGAGCAGCCCATCTGGCGGAGGTGGGCAAGGGGGCCGAATGGAAATGGTCATTACTAGCACATGTCTCACAGACCTGCGTGTCCTCCTACACTCATACCATGCCATCTGGACGGCTCCTCCTCCTCCTCCTCCTCTTCTTCCTCCTCCTCCTCATCTTCCTCCTCCTCCTCATCTTCCTTCTCCTCCTCATCGTCCTCGTCCTATTCAACTGTTACTGCTTTTGCAACTGCTGTTGTTGTTGCTGCTGCTGCTATTCAACTTTTAACGATGCTGGGTATTGTCTCTGTTGCGATTATAGAACCGTTACTCCTCGTGTAACTGCTACTGCTGTTTCTATCTGCTCTTCTTAGTGATTTAGCTGCTGCTGCTAATGTACTTTTAACTGCTACTACTGCTGATATATACATATAACTTGCTGCTGCTGCTGTTGCTCCTGCTACGATCGCCAACGGCCATATCACGTTGAGAACACCGCTTCTCGTCCGATCAGCGAAGTTAAGCAATGTTGGGTTTGGTTAGTACTTGGATGGGTGACCGCCTGGGAACACCAAATGCTGTTGGCAACAATGTTTGGAACGGGCTCACCATAGCCCGTGCTACTTGGAACTTTTTGTTCCAGGTAGCGAGCGGACAGCACGCTGGGCACGTGATCCTGTGGTCCCGGGTTCGATCCCGGGCGCCGGCGAGAAACGATGGACAGAGTTTCTTTCACTCTATGCCCCTGTTACCTAGCAGTAAATATGTACGTGGGAGTTAGTCAGCTGTTCCGGGCTACTTCCTGGGGTGTGTGTGTGTTTGTGCGGCGTGGAAAAAAAAAGTAGTAGTAGAAAAAGTTGATTGACAGTTGAGAGGCGGGACGAAAGAGCAGAGCTCAACCCCCGCAAGCACAACTAGGTGAATACACACACCAGAACCCACCTGGGGATGTAGAGTATCCTCTCGGCGATGACGAAGCCGACGGTGAAGAGGAGGTTGGTGGCCGGGAGGAATGGCAGCACCAGCAGCGCCAGCCCCAGCAGCAACGCCCGCCCCTCCTGGCCCTGCACGAGGAGAGAAAGACACGGGTCAAGCACTGGCCAGGATAGGCAGGGACAGGAGCAGGCAAGGTCGTGCGTGACGGGCGAGGGCACAGAAAAGCGAGATGAGGGTAACTTAGGGAAGTCGCTTGTGTGGGGGAGCAATAACACGGGATGAAGAGAGGGAAAATGTGTGTGTGTGTGTGTGTGAGAGAGAGAGAGAGAGAGAGAGAGAGAGAGAGAGAGAGAGAGAGAGAGAGAGAGAGAGAGAGAGAGAGAGAGAGAGAGAGAGAGAGAGAGAGAGAGAGAGAGAGAGAGAGAGAGAGAGAGAGAGAGGAGACTGTGTGTGTGTGTGTGGTGTGTGTGTGTGTGTGTGTGTGTGTGTGTGTGTGTGTGTGTGTGTGTGTGTGTGTGTGTGTGTGTGGTGTGTGTGGTGTGTGTGTGTGTGTGTGTGCGTGTGTGTGTGCGTGTGTGTGTGTGTCAGAGAGAGAGAGACTCTGTGTTTTCATAAGATGTGGTGTTTACATGAGGGTGCAAGCATAACGTTGATTAATAAATTCGTTTAAATTATTTGTAGGTTATTTTAGAGGTCAATAAACCTGCCAAAGGCTAACACCTTTGGCTTCCTTCACCGGGAGAATACAATATAGACAACTGAGAAACGATAAACGTCGAATAATTAGTCAAACAAACAAGTGCTCTTCTGAAAATAAGTATTTAAAATAAAACAAACTGAAAAAACGCCACATAATCTTGCAGAGATTGGATCAAAGCAAATCCAGGAGGAATACATATTGCAGTACAATCCATTTTTGTAGGAGCTTGGGGGAGTTTTCTGTTTGAGGAACCTACAGAATTAAACGAGAGTCGACATTCCCTGCACAGGGGGGGGAGGGGGTTCGGTAAATATACAAGAGTGGCTGTAGGAGAGCCTGGAGGTGCTGGAGAGCCTGGAGGTGTAGGAGAGCCTAGAGGTGCAGGAGAGCCTGGAGGTGCAGGAGAGCCTGGAGATGCTGGAGAGCCTGGAGGTGTAGGAGAGCCTAGAGGTGCAGGAGAGCCTGGAGGTGTAGGAGAGCCTGGAGGTGCAGGAGAGCCTGGAGGTGCAGGAGAGCCTGGAGGTGCAGGAGAGCCTGGAGGTGCAGGAGAGCCTAGAGGTGCAGGAGAGCCTAGAGGTGCAGGAGAGCCTGGAGGTGCAGGAGAGCCTGGAGGTGCAGGAGAGCCTGGAGGTGCAGAGAGCTTGGAGGTGCAGGAGAGCCTGGAGGTGCAGGAGAGCCTGGAGGTGCAGGAGAGCCTGGAGGTGTAGGAGAGCCTGGAGGTGCAGGAGAGCCTGGAGGTGCAGGAGAGCCTGGAGGTGCTGGAGAGCCTGGAGGTGTAGGAGAGCCCTAGAGGTGCAGGAGAGCCTGGAGGTGTAGGAGAGCCTGGAGGTGCAGGAGAGCCTGGAGCCTGGGTGCAGGAGAGGCCTGGAGGTGCCTGGAGGTGCAGGAGAGCCTGGAGGTGCAGGAGAGCCTGGAGGTGCAGGAGAGCCTGGAGGTGCAGGAGAGCCTGGAGGTGCAGGAGAGCCTGGAGGTGCAGGAGAGCCTGGAGGTGGAGAGCCTGGAGGCAGGAGAGCCTGGAGGTGCAGGAGAGCCTGGAGGTGCAGGAGAGCCTGGAGGTGCAGGAGAGCCTGGAGGTGCAGGAGAGCCTGGAGGTGCAGGAGAGCCTGAGGTGCAGGAGGCTGGAGGTGCAGGAGAGCCTGGAGGTGCCGGAGAGCCTGGAGGTGCAGGAGAGCCTGGAGGTGCAGGAGAGCCTGGAGGTGCAGGAGAGCCTGGAGGTGTAGGAGAGCCTGGAGGTGCAGGAGAGCCTGGAGGTGCAGGAGAGCCTGGAGGTGCTGGAGAGCCTGGAGGTGGAGGAGAGCCTGGAGGTGCAGGAGAGCCTGGAGGTGGAGGAGAGCCTGGAGGTGCAGGAGAGCCTGGAGGTGCAGGAGAGCCTGGAGGTGCAGGAGAGCCTGGAGGTGCAGGAGAGCCTGGAGGTGCAGGAGAGCCTGGAGGTGCAGGAGAGCCTGGAGGTGCAGGAGAGCCTGGAGGTGCAGGAGAGCCTGGAGGTGCAGGAGAGCCTGGAGGTGCAGAGAGCCTGGAGGTGCAGGAGAGCCTGGAGGTGCAGGAGAGCCTGGAGGTGCAGGAGAGCCTGGAGGTGCAGGAGAGCCTGGAGGTGCAGAGAGCCTGGAGGTGCAGGAGAGCCTGGAGGTGCAGGAGAGCCTGGAGGTGCAGGAGAGCCTGGAGGTGCAGGAGAGCCTGGAGGTGTAGGAGAGCCTGGAGGTGCAGGAGAGCCTGGAGGTGCAGGAGAGGTGCAGGAGAGCCTGGAGGTGCAGGAGAGCCTGGAGGTGCAGGAGAGCCTGGAGGTGTAGGAGAGCCTGGAGTTGCAGGAGAGCCTGGAGGTGCAGGAGAGCCTGGAGGTGCAGGAGAGCCTGGAGGTGCAGGAGAGCCTGGAGGTGCAGGAGAGCCTGGAGGTGCAGGAGAGCCTGGAGGTGCAGGAGAGCCTGGAGGTGCAGGAGAG